TTTTGTTGGCAGAGTGCTCAGGCCACCACAGGCACCCCCAACACGAGTGATCTCGAGCTAGCCATGCCCATCCTGGGCAACCCATCACCCACCCCAACCCCACCCCCCAATGGCAAACACAACCCCGATGTGGCCCTCAATGAAATCGAGTTTAACACACCTGATCTAAAGTGTCTACTAACTTTAGTCTTCAGCAGGGGTAACTAAATTAACCAGCAATGGGCAATGTGCTTATATCCTGTACATTGTGTTTAATGTATTGTTAACTGTGACTACAGAGTGGAGCAGCTCCAATTCAATTCAATTCAAATCAAATCAAAAATAAATAAAGTAAAGGGATGGGCAGCATGTATATCTCAAATCTCTCTCTCTGTTTTTTTCTTTGCAATCCTTTGGTCTCCAAACTTCACATCATTAAATTCAGCAGCAAACCATCAAATTGTATCAAGAAAAAAAAATTAGTACATTGTTTAAGAGCTAGGTTTACCCACAAGACGATAAATGAGGGGAAAAAAATCAAAGGGTTAGAACCCGGTTTAGCATATTGTACAAACTTAATTGAAAGGCTTTTAAGTAATAAATTTTCAATTAGCATTGTTGAAGAAAGGCAGCAAAATAAAGAAGGCCACTCCCAGACATTAAAAAGGGCCTCAGCTACAATTCTTCCTGTAATACCTTCACTGAGGCCACTTCCATCAATAAACACTGTCCTATCACAACTCAGTTGACATACCATTGTGTGAGTGTGTGTGCACGCGCATGTAAGTGTGTCAACCCTTTTGTCTTCACCAGAGCCTAAACTTACCTCTGGTGATATTTCCCACTCCAGTTTTTGGGGTGGAGGGATGCTGGGGTCCATCTTGCCTTTGCAGTTCCCATCTTCATCATATCCCAGCAGGAATACATCTGTGGCAAGTGTGTACTGTAAAAAAAAGGGCGGCCAAAAGAAAGCTCAACTATTTTGATTCCCTGCGGCATCATTCGTGTTGAGCTAGCACCCCATTCCCTAGCACCCCGGGGGAATCCAAGTGTTCTCCACTTCACCCCCTTCCTTCCGACCAATCCTATGCTGGAGAACCCAACTGGAGATTTACCTCCCAAAGATGTCCAATAATAGGTGCATCAGCCCATGAGTGTTCTGCATTGATTCCGGTTTTCCCGTTGCGGTAAACAATCAAGTTGAAAGATTTGTCAAACCACCTGTGAGAAAAGAGTTTTTCCATAGGCTGCTCCCTATTCTTCTCATAATCAAAGATGCACACATGGACAGGTATGCCTCCATCATGAGGGCACAAAACAATGTGTTTAAAGGCCCTGGCAACAGAGCAGATCATGACGTCTCTCTCTCTCTCTCTCTCTCTCTCTCTCTTGCACTTCAAAATGTTCATTCTACCACTGATACTGGGGAAATGTTTACTGGCATACAAGGAACTTAATAGCGTTCTGTGAAGGGTATCACAACCAGCAGAAAATTATTTGGAAAACAAAACCAGTCCTTATGGGAAAAGTGTTCTTTTTTTTTTTTTAAGTATGAAGGAAGTGATATTTTGGTACGATTTCTCTGTTCAAGAAATGCAAGGGACATGTGACCCAAGATCCTTATGACCTCTGGTGTACAATCTTTGCAGGTTGGTTGCAGAGAGGATATACCTACCTGTCACAGCAGTGCCCGTGTAGCAAGGATTTTGCGTAGACATCCAAAGCCTGACCTGGATTGTCCCCTCGCAGGCCCTGTTCACTTGTGTCAAGAGTGACAAAGAAAGCAGCTTTCTCAATGATACTCAAGGACTGCTTGTTAATCCCAGAATCGAAGTAGGTCTGGCGGGCCCGGGCCCAGGCATCTCTACAAAAAAAAAACATTAAACCATCAGAATTACGAGAGGTGGCTATTATGGATGTCCTGATCCCAAAAAGTAACAACTGACTTTGGTGAGAATGGGTAGTCATTTCCTAATTCTAACATAGTATGTTCCATATTAAAGAAGAACATAGTGGATACCCCTTCTTTTACCCCCTTCGAAGTCACTGCATGGACTCGTATCTCTTTTTGCTTCATAAGCAGCAACAGTGAAAAGATGCAAAAAAGGATTATCTGAACTCCAAAGATCAGTTCTTATGGCAGGGCTAAAGAAAGGAACAGATTCTTTCCAAGCCCAATTTTCATTTTCCTCCGGAAGGAGGAAAGATAGATATGGAGATGGTAGAGATTCCAAAGTGAGCAGAGGTTCATTCACTCTTTTCTACCATCTTTTTGCCATTCCCTTTCTCACGCTCTACCAAGTCAGCTATGGAAGTGCATGAGCCACCTTAGCTCTGTGGGTTGCATAATACCATAATGAGGACCACAGCAAGGGTTCTGAGAGACTGCCCTGTAGTATTTTATTCAGAAGGAGGGAAACATGAAAAAGGATGAGTTTGTCTTAAGCTAGGGTTTTCACCGTCTCCCAGTGAATGGAGGGCCCCAGACGCTTCTGAGAGGCATGGGCGTTACCCTCCTGAAGTGGGCAGAGCCATCTAAGACGGAGAGTGCAAACCAGGTATGCAAAGTACTCCTTAAATAAGAAATAAAGACGTTAAAAGCACACTCAAATATATAATTATACCCACATAGTGGGGAGCAAAAGTAAAGAACAGCATAAAGAAGTGGCAGAGAATAGTAGGGCCATGAAGGGGCAGGGAAGCAAGGCAGCATGGCATGAGGGTAGAGCAGGACAGTTAAGTGGAGAGCGGAGAGGCAGGATGACTAATGGGATGTAGAGGCCTTGAAGGTCACACCACACAACACTCCTGGGCAGTGGTGGGATTAATTTCTTTTTACTACCAGTTCTTTGGGCATGGCTTGGTGGGTGTGGCAGGGGAAGGACACTGCAAAATCCCTATTCCCTTCCCACCCTACTAACTTGCTTTACAGCTCCATTCTCCTGTTCAGGGCAACAAAAGATCATCAGCTGGGAGGCAGTGGGGGCGGGGCCAGCCTTTTTGCCGGTTCTCTGAACTACTCAAAATTTCCGCTACTGGTTCGCCAGAACTAGTCAGAACTGGCTGAATACCACCTCTGCTCCCGCGACATACTTGAATTTCTATCTAAACTTACTCTCTTCAAACTCATTGAATGAAAAAGAGCATAGTGTGAATCAGCCCATCTATAGTATTAGCTGCCACAGGTCCAACTTACCTTTCACCTGCAGTCATTGAAGGCAATTTCTCCTCCCCAGGCAGAGGGGGTGTAGGGTCCTCAAGAATAGCTTCAAACTGTGCCTGAAGTTCACAGGGCTCCAGCAGCTTCCCCTTGTAATACAACGATACCCGGAATAAGCGTCCTGCATGGTATACTGCAATGTGATCACTGTCTTGTAGATGTTGGATCTTATCTGGGAAGCAAGGACATAAACAAAATAAAAACTCCACTGGGTCTCACTCAATACGTATATAGGCAGCCTAACCACCTGCCTCCTCCCCAAGGCTCCCCAAGGAAGTCATAACTCCGTGAAAGGTTATGTCCTGTACCGTAATTCAAATTTATCTCTCATCCCAAGCTAATAGTTCTAATTTTAATAAAAATAGTAACAGGTCAAGCACCTTACATTCAAGCAATTGCAGCAAACCCTTGCAGTTTCTCTGGTGTTAAATTTTCACAAAGTGAAACCTTGCATTGGGATATCCAAAATTCCCAGCCAGCAAAATGTGAGTGGAAATTCTTATACCTCTAAAGTGCACCAACTAAGGAAAGCTGCAGTAGTCAAAGATTAGTAAAAGAAGGCCGCACAGAATTAACACGAGCTGAAACAAATCCCCATTTTTCTCTTTGCCGTCCTGTGTCCAAGACCTGCGCACACAAGACCTTCAATCTTTTAATATTGTCGGGGAGGGTTTTTTTAAAAAATTCTTGGACCCTCTTTACATAGTTGCTGGAAACTGGTAGCAATCCCCCCTTATTGGACATTGCCACACTTTGCCATACATGCAAATGTAGTTGCTCAGACATCTACACTACTCTAGTCAAAAGATTCTGAGCAGTTCATGATTGATGCAACAGTCCGATTTAAACAATACACAAATCTAACAATTGTTGAAGATAAATACTTAAACTAAGTAGGCTTAATTTAAAAATCTTAGAAGCCCACAAATAAATAATGAAAATCCAGAAAGGAAAAAAAAAAGGGAAATACTAGAATAACTTTGCTTCATAAAGCTCTTTTACTTTGCATCATTGTGTTCTGCCCACAACAGCCTTTCTTTTATCAATTAAGGGGGGCTTCCAACTACTAACATAATTGCCCACTCTTAATTTAAGGAAACAGTAAAAGCTTATTCAGGTGTCCAAGTTTTGAACACCAAAAAGAAGCTATTAAGAACCATTCTCAAGTATGGTAACCAGGATTGGTTCTCTAAAAGTCTTATCAAAAAGACCTTTGAGAAGTTTGGACCCATCCCTCACCTTTTAAGTCTTTACATCTGGAGAAGCATACGTTCACCACCCTGCTTTAAAATAAAACATGGCTGCAGGACAAAACATGGCTGCAGGTGGAGGGAGGAGTCCATTCATCCCCCCTACGATCCACATGACGGTGTACAGGCATTTTTTGGAAAAGGAGGACAAGGTATGCAGAAGCGTCCTACCTCCCTCCAGATCAGGCACACGAGTTGTATTAAATATGCGTTCAAACTGAGCTGAGCACGTTGGCAGGCAACCTTGAAGCAGCATCTGAGAAGCAGAGGGAAGCAAGAAAAAAAAAGAAAGATATAGATAGAAAGAGAGAGACCGAAAGAATAATCAAGAAGCTTTGCCTGCCATGAAGCTTTGAAAGAAGTAGAAAAGAACCCAAGGAGAATTTTTATTTCTCTTAGCAACTCGAACAGTCCTGCTAAGAAAGGAATCCAATAGGTAGCCAAGCTCCAAAAGTTCTAACTTCAATAGGTAGCCAAGCTCCGGTTCTAACTTCATGAATAGGTGTGAGTTACCCATGTTGAGAAGAGCAAGAAGAGATACCAGATTTCCTTTAAAGCCAGGGACTGATTGCCAACTTGGTACCTTTGAATGACTTCTACCACCCAATATGAAGTAGACTGCAATAGTCTACCATCATTCTTAGCCAAATAACACTGCACTGCTGGAGATGATGAAAGTTCTTGACACAACACTCACAGAGGCACCAAGTTGTCAAAGGATGGTTAAGATAGAAGGATTTAGAGAATTATGGGTAAGTCCTGAAATCATAGAATGCAACATTGAAGATATGAATGAGACAAGCCAGCAAAAGACCCCATAGAGGAGATTCATCTTGCACAAGTCTCCCATAGCCAGATGTGAGAAGGAGATTATTTCTCGGGGTCTTCCAGGTCACTTACCCTGCCCCTCCCCAGGCAACCTGGTGGTGTTGAAAAGGCGCTGCCACTGGGCCGAACAGAGGGGGATGGTGGAATTAGGAACCATGCTCTGATATCAGGTGAGAAGGAACCCCAAAATTAGATGGGGAAAAGAAAACCAAACAGGGAAGAGATTTATTGTTGTTATCTTTAATATACTCAGTGACCCTAAAACATTTAAAATCAAGGCATAAATAAATGTAACAAGCAAAAACCCAATGAACAAACTTTAGAAAGATAACTGAGAATGGGGCGTTGATTCTTACCTGATACACCCCTTCTCTGGGCAGATAGAGACAGCGGTCATGCATGGGTTAACTCAGCCAGTAACCAATAGAACTGAGTTTACCAAAGTGATGTCATCGCCTCTGAGGAGTGTCCTCCCGCTTTCTTGACAAAGAGATAAGTAGACTGCTGTGCACTTTTCGATTGCTCTCAATTCCTTGATGCTCCAGCATTTCTTCCAGAACTCCTTCTGCGAACTAGGCCAGATCCTTAGAGGGTGGGGATGACCGCTGTCTCCACCTGCCAGAGAAGGGGCATATCAGGTAAGAACCAACACCCCATTCTCCAAAGTTGGTGGAGACAGCGGTCATGCATGGGATGTACCAAAGCTAGGCCTGTCCCCAGATGGGAATGAAACTGGACTAGAAGTTTGAAGAGGGAAAAACTTGTTGAAGGACCCGCCGGCCAAAGGCCGCATCCGCCAAAGCGTATCTATCCACCTTATAATGGTGGATAAAGGTAGTAGTAGTAGTCCAGGTAGCCGCCTTGCAGATCTCCTCCACTGAGGCCTGCCTTGTCCATGCTGCCGATGTAGCCGCACTGCGTGTGGAATGTGCTGTGATGTCGGATGGAGGAATGAGGTGATGTGCCAGGTAGGCACTTGAAATGGGAGATTGGATCCAGCGCCCAACCATAGAGGGAGAAGCTTTTAGTCCCCTATTTGTGGGATGGAAAGACACGAAGAGACCTTCAGTGCGACTGAAGATGACCGTCTTGGCAATATAGATCTTAAGATCACGTCTTACATCTAACCTGTGCCATTTGCGTTGAAGTCTGTGAGAAGGATTAGGACAGAAATTTGGAAGAGTGAGGTCTAGAGATTGATGAAAGGCTGAATTTACCTTTGGAACAAAGGTGGGATCAAGACAAAGGACCACATGGTCTGGGTGAAATACACACAGATCCGATCGGATGGAGAGGGACGCCAGTTCCGAGACCCACCATGCCAACGTGATGGCCACCAGAAAGGCTGTCTTCAGTGTAAGATGATGCAATGAGACTGATCTGAGAGGCTTGAAGGGCAGAGCCAACACCTGTCGCCGAAGGGTGTTTGGCGAGAGCCCTTTATCAAGCCTGTGTTGCAAGAACTCCAAAACCTGGGGAACCGAAGCCTCCAGTGGAATGGCATCTCGAGAAAGGCACCAAGTAATGAAAATCTGCCACATTGATTCGTAGATTCTGTTAGTGGCTGGGCGGCGAGAAGCCTGAATAGTTTGAATTACAGTCTCAGAAAGATTAGCCGCCCTCAAGACCGCACACTCAGCCTCCATGCAGTTAGGCGGAGTCAGGACAGTGAATGGATCCCTGCTGAAGGGACATTATCATTGGAAGGCGCCACGCTGGGCCTACTGAGATATTAATCAGGTCCGCATACCAGGGTCAGCGCAGCCAATGAGGGGCGATTAGGATGAGCTCGGCCTCTTCCTTTATCATTTTCTGAATCACCCTCTGTATCAAGAGAAAGGGAGGGAAAGCGTATAGGAGACCATGAGGCCACCTGCACCTTAAGGCGTCCGTCCCTTTCGCACCTGGTGTCATGTAACGAGACAGGTACAAGGACAACTACATGTTGGATGCCGTTGCGAATAGATCTAGCACCCGAGTCCTGTACCTGGATGACAGCTGTTTGTAGATGTGCTGGTTCAGGCTCCACTCCGCAGGTCGATTGTTGTGCGGCTCAACCAGTTTGCCCGAGTGTTGTCAGTGTTCAAGATGTGTTCAGCATGGAGAGAGAGAAGATTGGCCTCTGCCCAGATTCTTAGGCAAAAGGCAGACTCCATGAGAGATACCGCCCTCATCCCCCCTTGGCGGTTGACATGTGCTTGGCTGTTGTCTGTCCAAATCAGCACGTATGTGTTGCAAAGTGAGGATTGGAAATGAAGGAAAGCCAGATGAATGGCCCTCAACTCTAGCCAGTTCATACTGTGGGAAAGGTCGGAATTGGACCAGAGACCCTGAGCCACTTGATCCTCCAGGTGAGCACCCCATCGTTAAGCTCACATCCGTCGTGACTACGAGACGTGGAAGTTCCTGAAGAGGAATCCCCGAGAAATGGCTGGAGAAATCCACCAGTCTAGAGATTGTATTACCTCTGAAGTCAACCAGCTGCTGTTGGTTTTCTGGAATGGCAGAAGAAATCACTGAAGGCAGTGGCTGTGAAGCCACACCCAAGGAACAATGGAGAAGCATAAGACCATCTTCCCCAGCAGTTGAGACAGCTGGAGAAGAGGGACCAGCTATCTCCTCCGCACCTTGTTGGCCAAGTCTCTGAGGCTGATCTGGCATTCCCAAGACAGGAAGACCTTCCCCTTGGAGGAATCGATGAGGGTTCCTAAGTGTACTAGACGTGAGATGGGGACAAGGTGACTCTTCTCCTGATTGATGGAGAATCCCACCCCCCTGAGACACCTGTAAGGTGTCCTGGTGGTCCCGAAGAGCCTGGTTGTGTGACTTGGACAACAAGAGGATGTCGTCCAGGTAGCATATGATCCGAATGGGTCTGGCTTGCAAGTGGGCTGCTACGATTGACAGGAGTTTGGTGAAAATCCTTGGGGTTGATGACAGCTCGAAGGGGAAGGTCCAATACTGAAAGTGAATGGCCCACATAGACAAAGTGTAGGAATCGTCTGTGTTGCTTGTGAATGGGCATGTGGAGGTAAGCCTCCATGAGGTCCACTGATGTGAGGAGATCGTGTTTGTGCACACTCTCTAGGATTGACAGGAGAGAGTGCATTTTGAATCTCCTGTACCTGATGAATCGATTTAGAAATTTGAGATCGAGGATTGCTCTCCAGCCCCCCAAAGACTTTGGCACGATAAAGAGATGAGAGTAAAAACACCGCCCCACCTGGCCTGGAGGCACAGGTTGAATGGCCCAAATGAGGAGCGGATGATGGATGGCCTGCTCAACTAGGAGCCTCTTGTGAGGATCCCTGGAAATAGGGCACGTGACAAAGTGATTCAGAGGGTTGGAGAGCAAGTCCAAGAAAAGGCTGAATCTGATAGTGGACCTGACCCACGCATCGTTGGTGATGTCGTCCCAATGATCCACAAAGTTTGCCAGACATCCCACGATCGGAAGATCTTCCAGGCAGCCACTTCTGCATCTTATAGGGGTGGTTGGTATTGTCCTTGAATGACTTTCTGGGATGGAATCTCTAGTTGTTTCTGCCTGGTCTGTTGGAGGAGGAGGGGCCCTGTCTGGGAGGAGCCTGACGCTGTGGACGGGAGTTGGACGAACCCCCGTCCTGACCACGAAAGGGCTGCCTACAATAAAAGGACTGATTCTGACCCTCCTGCTTCTTAGTGGCCGGTTACAGGACCTTCCACTTGGACTCTACTAGCAGAGGTTCTAAAGGAGGACCAAAGAGAAGGGAGGAAGAATAGGGAGAGGAGGCAAACCTCCACTTGGCTCAGGCTTCTGCCTGCCACTGCTTCAGCCAAAGGAGCCGGAGGGTGGTGATAGAGGATGCTATGGCTTTGGACGCCAAACAAGCCGCGTCTAGGGAGGTATCTGCGATGTATTCTAGGGCTGTTTTCAATTTGTTAATGTCCCTGTGAGGCCTAGAATTCCGGGCCGGAAGTCTCCCTTGAAGTTGTCAGCCATAAGAGAGCAAAGCAACTAAAGAAAGAAGCAGAGGTAACTGCCCTGACGGCCCAGGCCGAGGCCTGATGTCCCTTGATCAGAGTTTGTTCTATTCTCTTGTCTTCAGGGCGAAGAGCTTCCTCAGGAGCTGCTGAGGCTGCGTTAGGAAAGGAGAGGCTAACTATAGGTAAGTCAATGGAAGATACTTCTAGAGCCTTGGTGAGTTCTGGTCCCACCTTGTACAGGCGCTTGTCCAAGGTATTGGGGAGGGTGCCTGTATCTGGTGATGCCCATTGATTCTGGACCACATCTATGAAGAGTCTGGGCGATAAAATCACCTCCTTTTCCACCTTAGGCTGGATGAAGAGGGGGTCAGTGGTATCAGTCTTGTCTGTTTCCATTCCCTGAGGAATCTTGGGTGAAGGGATGCCAGCGATCTTCTTGGCCTTAAAGAGAAGGGACCGAAAGGTTTAAAGAGACTGACAAAAGTAGGATGGTCAGAGGGGAAGGCCCTCGTCTTCCGAGATATCTGAATCTCTTGCCGGACGTTCCTCCTCTCTGAAAACCAATGGTTGACTGGTAACTCATGCGATGAAGAAGCCAAGAGATCACCATCTCTGCGTCTGGAACCAGAAGAAGAAGCAGACCTGCATGGAGTGGAATGGTTAGAAGACCTGTGTTTAAGTAATGCTGCTACGCCTCATTCGATGGCCTCAGAAATGATATCAGCCATGCCAGGAGAGTAAGAATGGCAGCGGGATGGGGGAGAGATGTCCTCCTGATAAAGGGGCTCCTCATCATGAGTGACGTTCCTGCCACCCTCGGATTCATCCCCACTGCAGGCCAGATCGCACATGCCCCTGGCTTCTTCAGGTTGGATAACAGATGCAGCAGGGGAGAGATCATCTTCTGAATCAGAAGATAGGTCAGGAGGAGGACTAGGATGAATAGACCTCTGGGGCTGAAACAGATGGGATTCTGTGTTTTTGGTATTGCCCCGGGCCTTTTTAGGAGGAGCCTGAGCGACATCGCCTTCCTCCCAAGAAGGTGAATTGGCTGTATTCCTGTGACTAGACCTGGGAGTCTTGGAAGTGGGCTCAGTGAGGGGAGCCTCTGGGGCAGGCCTGCACCTATGGGTTCCGGATGGAGGGGGCTCGGTGGTGGGGAGCAGGGGCCAAGGCAGGTGGAGACACTTGTGGCTCATGGATAGGAGAGAAAGCTGTGGCTTGTACTCATGACTTCTTGTCCGAAGGAGGGAATCAAAATGACCGCTGGAGCTTTTTTGCACCAAAACAAAATTGGCCGCTGACGCTACAGAGCCTATGAGTGGGGCGCCATGAGGTAGCCGAGGCCGCGGAAGAAATAAGGGCATTGATGGCCCTGCGGAGAGGCTGCGGAGGTGATGGCAGCACCAGCGGTGATCTAGCAGTGGCAGGAATGGTGAGTAGTGGTGGCAGCATGCAGCAGCGGCGGCAGTTTCCCACCGGCGGCAGCGTTCGGCGGCGTTTGGTGGCAAGGGAGAACCAGTAGAGGTAGCAGCACTGAGCGTAGCCTCCTATGGCCAGTGCTAGGCAGTGCTGCATCCAGGGAAGCCTTTGTAAGCCGCAGGCAAGGTCAGGAGGCTGAAGCCTTGAAAGAAACCCTGGCAGTCCCTCTCAGTAGCCCTGGGGCTAAGTGAGAGCCCTGACTCCGAGAGGAGCTATCAGCGACGATCCGCCCTCCACCAGTAATTTAGAAGCCAAATTTTTCGAGGAAGGCCAATTAAAACCAATTAGAGTAGCCAATTCAGTATTTTTAAATAAATAAGTTGAGGATAGAGCAATTAGCACAGCCAATTCTGATCGAACTGAGTCTAACAAAAGCGGGAGGACACTCCTCACAGGTGATGACATCACTTTGGTAGACTCAGTTCTATTGGTTACTGGCCGAATTAACCCATGCATGACCGTTGTCTGCCCCAACTTTGGAGAAAAAGAAGCATGACTTGGACTTTACAATATAGCTTGCTGTGCTATCTTACATTTAATAAACAAAGCAAAGCTACCTGTGCATTTAAGCATGTATAATACTCAGCCCAAATACATTGGGGCAGGCCCATCTTTATTCCCCTTTAGCTTTGCTTTAAGCCTCTTTTCTGATCTTTTCTTTGCTGCATACTTGCAAAGAATCAATTCAGTATTTGAACACTAAGTTGCGCTTAAGACAAACTCAAAACAGTTGTGACGCGGTGAATACAGGATTTGATCTCCTGGTTGTGATTTCCTTTGTTTTGTTTTTACTTCCAATGAACTATAGAAATATCAATCCAGAGTAGCTCCTGCCCCCATAGTAGGAGAAATTCATATATATTGCTTGCTCTGGAGGAACAACTAAACAGTTTAGGTCTAGGAAAAGAACAACCATCATCATCAGAACTGGAATATCATGCAATTGTCTTGATACTAAAGAAAAACATGTAGCATAAGAATGTATTATCATTTTAGCCCTTGGATCAGCAAGGCGAGGAGTAAAATTGATGTTCATCTGTGAATTTCACTGAGATCCTTTGCAAATAATTGGCTTGATCAGCATGTGAAACTAAACCGTACTGTATATGTTTAGTTTTAACTTAGTCTCATAAGCAAATGAGATGTTATAATATGCAAATATGGCTATTCTTTTTCCAGGGCACCAACATACCCCAGAAGTTCCTTAGCATGAGTCCTGGAAGAAAATGTGGGATTCGTTGTGATTTTCTAGACTATGCTTGCACCACAGACCTGGCTCTTTCTACATCTCCACTTCCCCTTTGTCTAGTCTAGGCAAATGAAAAATTTTCATTGATGTGTGCTACACAAATGATATGGTTAGTTTATCATTAACATTAGTTTATAATTTCTTCCACTTTTGAAAGCACAGCAGCAAACTAAACTGACCATAAGGACAAAACTATCAAATGGTACGAGAAACATGTCTGTATTCAGGAGTGGGCTTCAAAAATTTCAGCAATGAGTTCTCTGCCTGGTTTCTGGATAGGAATGGCCATGGTGGATGTGGCCTAGTCAGCCTTCTGCATCATGGCAGGAGGGCCGTTTTCACCTTCCCCAGGCTTCTCTGGGGGGGCGAAAACTACTTCCCCCAGGCTCCGGGGACCCTACAGAGGCTGGAAATAGGCTGTTTTCTGGAGCTTATGAGAGACCCATTCCCCCCCTCCCCGAGCCTCTGCATGGGCCCTGCACTTACCTCGCATCAAAAATGCCCCTTATGGAGACTCCTGAGAGGGGAGAGATGGGAGGGGCCAGCCAGGATGGGATTTGGAGGTTCTCCGAACTAGCCAAAATGTTAGCTACCGGTTCTCCCAAACTCAGACGAACCTGTAGCAGGCCACCCCTGCCTGTATTTTTTCTGCCTTTCAGAAAAAACAGCCTTTTCTAACCTATCATGTGTTTGAGACTATAATTTCCAAAACCTACTAAGTATGGTGGTTTGGTGGGGGTGGTTGTAGTTCAATTCATCTGGAGAGTCTCAGTTTGGAGAAGGCATAACAGCTGCTTTACAAAGTAAAACGAACTTACGACCATCCGTTTAGCAACCATTCAAAATTACACCAATGCTAAAAATAGTCTGGTTCTCATGCTTATGACTGATCTCACACTTATGGCCACTGCAGCATCCCCATAGTGAGGTGATCAAAATTCAGATGCTTGGCAACAGGCATGTATTTAATGATGGTTCATGTGATTGCTATTTGTGACCTTCTCAGCTGGTTTCCAACTAGCACAGGCTATGGGGAGAACTGAATTTGCTTAACCACTGGATGATAACAACCACTTAACAACCACAGTGATTTGTTTAAAACCACAGCAAAAGGAGCTTGTAAAATTGGGTGTGACTCATTTAAAAGCCATCTTGCTTAGCAACAGAAGTTCTAATGGTTGTAAGTTCAAGACTACCTGTATAACAAATCTTGTTCTCGGTCTGACTCCAACTAACTAATTCAGACAGAGGAAGCTTTCATTCTCTAATAGGCATATTTCCTATCCCTCCCTATATTTTGATCTCACTCACTGGTTTGATTTCCTCTCGGATGAGTTTGCGTCGGTACAGCAGCATGGCATAAACAAGATTCCCAGCACGAGCAGATTGGACTGGAGTAGGTATGACATAAAGGAAATCCTGCAAAATGAGTGCAGAAGAAATGAAAACATGGGGAGAAGGTTCGGTCAGAAATGCTGGAAGAAAAAATGTCCTGTTCAAGTGTTGGTATTCTTCTTTAGCGTTGGTAACTCACCATGGCATAATAGTTGCTATTTACCATCAAGGGGCTCCTCCCACGGAGATACACATACTCTTCCCACCAATCACTTACCTAGCAAGAGATGGAAGGAGGGTGGAAAAGAAGACATTAAAAAGACAGCACCACATGCATATTCTCAGTGTACTACACTGTTCTTCCCAAAGAGCTCCTTCTCCCCTTTAAAAGGCCCACTCACATAGTTGGATGCCCACCAAGATTTCAGTGTGAGATACCACTGCAGTTGTGGTCCAAGGGTCCGTTCAAAGTCACGGACAAGACCTGTCATTCGATAGAACTCTGTATCATTCATCAGCGGTCGTATGGATTCCAGATACTAAGGGAGAAAGAAAAATATGGAATTAGATCTTGGCAAGTGCAGAGTTCATTCTTTTATCCAAAAGCCTTCCTCATTCCAAACTCAAGATGACATTTGTCCTCATTCTCTCTCCAAAGACAAAAAAATTAAAACTCTCACAAATCGACATGCTTCTCTCTAGCGCTTATGTTCGGGACAGTCAGCAGTTTCAGCAGCCGTGAGGCTGACTCTTAGACGCTGGAAAAGGGACTTCTTCCCGGGTCACCAGAGACTTTGCGGGTGTCTCTGGGATCAACAGGATGTACCCCTACCTATCACCGTATCTACAGGACGGTTTAGGTTCGAATGGACCGTCCAAACGACCAGAATTCGGCAGCGATCCTGGGACTGCAGGAAAGTCTGATTGTTCCACTGCGACGCCATGACCCTTCCCGAGATGCTATGATTTTGTAGTCCCCAAAATTTGGAGAGCTCAGCTAGAAAAAGCTATCAATCAACAGTCTATCAGAACATGAAACATTCAAGGTATCCTTCCCAGCTCACCAGCATCTGAGGTCACCCTGGTATTATATGTTTTTGTTGAAATCCCATTGTAGCCTCAAGATGCCCTGCATGTAAAACTTTTGTTTAATTACTATAGATAGCAAGAGAAAGAGCACTTAGATTTATATACCATTTCACAGTGCTTACAGCCCTTTCTAAGCAGTTTAAGGAATCATCATGTTGTCCCCAACAATCTGGGTCCTTATTTTATCAACCTTGGAAGGATGGAAGACTGAGTCAACCTTGAGCTGGTGAGACTTGAACTGCCAACAGTCAGAGGAAGTAGTCTGCAGTACTGCATTCTAACCACCCTGCCACCATGGCTTTTATGCAACAATAGTTCCAAAATACATTTTTTAAAGATCTCAGCTTTGTCTTTCCCAAGGATATTCCATTCCTTGTGTTCTCCTTCATTCTTTCTTCCCTTATTTATTAATTTCGTGTATGGCATTCTTTCTTCACTTTGCCCATTTCTACCCTATAAACAGTTTTCTAGCACTCCTTCAGTTGCTTTTGGAGTTAGACAGTATTTCTTTTTTTTTTTTTAAAGATTATCATTTTATTTTAATGCAAATTTTAGGGCTTCAGATACTAATTTTTATCTCTTACGATTATGACATGGTTAATCCTCCCATGTCAAAATAGAAAATGCTTTCTCTTCCTAAGAGAGTTTAAGATCACTGTTAAACGCATTTGACAATGTTAGATTATAAATTACCTCATATCATAGAAATAAGAATTCTATGTTAACGTTTTTGTTAATTTATGAAATCTATCTACAGAAGTTTACTGTTGTAACTATGCATAAATGCTGTCTAATTAACTCAATGAATAACTCAAATGTGTTATCTTAAGTGAATGCAAATGAATCACTCCCACAGCAAATAAGCAATGGAAAAACCTGATTCTCATGTTAGGCCCCTTTTTACAGCTCTTCCTTTGTCTCTAGCCAGAACTTTTCTTTCCAATAATCAGCAAAGAGTCCCACATTAGGAACCTATAATCAGAACTAGGAAATGAACACCATCTGAAATAATTACTAAAAAAGAGTTCACAGGGTATGCCAAATGTCAGGACCAAAAATTAGTACCAGAAATGTCAGGCATGCTAAAATAATGAGATGCCTACTGTGATGCAAAGCTTTTGATTTTCCTCCCTTTCCATAAGATCCAAATACCAGTTTGGGGAAGTGGAATCAGTCAACATGGAATATTCTTTGTTTGGGTCCTGCTGCAATGGGCAATAGTTTCTAGCATTTCTGGAGAGAGGAAAGGGAGTTACAGATGGTTCTTGAGATATATCCATAATGGAGCCTGTATATTACAGTCATATGTTGCAAAGATTGTAAAATCGGTCAGTCACATGACTGAATCAATTTTATTATTATCTTTGCAGGGGTCATTAAAAATACTGCAATCAGTAAGTAAATCAGTGATTGCTATGGATGCAGTTTTGCTGAAAACTGGAATTCCAGGGCTACCTGTATTAGTGATCATTAGGATCAGCAGCCAGGGATGGGGAGAATGTGTGATCTTTTTCCTTCCCTGCTTTAGTTCAAAGGAACGCCTATCATGGTTAGTTTGCAGAAAAATGGTTGTTTCTATCAAGTAGCAGACTTTCAAAGCATCAGCCAATGCATGGTGGTATTATCCTAACTATAACATCCCAATCTACGGTTGGAATACAAAGGATGGAGGCAAATGTAGGCCTCTGTCTTCCCTGTTTCAATTTCTCCTGCGAACACCACTACTTCAAAGATGCATTCCTTCACTTTCAAACCAAAGTGTCCAAGAAATGTTACAATCTTTGTATGCCCTATTGTAAGTAAGAAGTATATGGACAAAAGCTGCAGACTCACCTTCCTCATTGTATCCGCAATAGCTGGAACAGGCAGACGAGGCAGTGACGCCTGATAGCTATACAACATGGGTTTACGACCAGAGAAGATTTTCACCAAAGCCTATGAGGTGAGGGGATAAAGGGAGAAGTGAGCAAGACCCCCACATTTCAACGTGTTCATTTTTTTCCTCCACCATTTTTCTTTGGCCTAATTCACAATAAAGTGGCCTGTTTTATATTGGAATAGGACATGGTGTATCCTGCTATAAAACAGAGTGAGATATTTGCTTCAGGTAGCAGATACTAGTAAAAATATTGTGGGGCACAGCTATCTATGCTTAGTAGCCTGTCCCACATCCTCCTACACCCTTCAATAAATTATGCTGAAGCAAAATTCAACTGCCAGTTCTATTATTTTTATTATGAAAAAAAGGGAAAGCAGAAAGTCCATCTTGTTTTTTTTATTAGAATACAAATTACTAAGATTTCTCTGACACTGGATTACTACAAACTGCAGCCACCGAGGTTCGTTACTGACGGCGCAGAAGTTTAATCTAAAGGTTATAACAAGGGTTCTGCAGATTTTTGGATCCAAAGTGGAAAAGCAAGAATATGGCTTTCACCTCCTTAATGAAACTGCACCTTTTTCTGGACTCATGTGGTAGGTCTGTGTCCTGTCCCCCCCAGGAAAAATGATGCCAACTGGGTGTAGTGAAACCATTGTACTCTGGATGGAACTTCCTTCTTTTCTGACATAGTTTACTACATGTCTGGAAGCTGGTTATATGTTTGTTTGCAAAAACACTCAATCATATGAGAACCAAGCCCCAAGGATATTTATGTTTTCACATCTTCCCTAAATCTTAATCTGATCTTCTTAGGTATAATCACCCTTTCATCTAAATGCCTTGGTGGGAATTACAGACACACCTGCTGCTCTGTCTTAATGTGTATCTGTGCTCCTCAGTTTGGCTTCTTCTCAACTGATATGGCCCAATATTTCATCTCATTTTTCTCCAGCAGCCTTCTCCAAATGTGTACCTCTCAGATGTGCTGAATGGAAATCTTATCATCCCATACAGCCAGACCATGAGAATTCTGATAAAACAACAAATCTAAAAGGCACTGGATTGGGAAAAGCTGCTCCGTGGTGTTTTTCACCATAAACCATCATTAACTTTTTAGCTAAACCTGTTCATCTGCTCTTTAATTGTGAACATAGCTATTGTAAGTAGTTCAGGGACGTATCCCTCTGTAGGTGAATTGTATACTGCCTAGATGGCATGGTACTGAGAATGTTAGGGAGAACCTACTCATTAGGTGACTTTAAGTCCCTCCTTCTTTCTTTCCTATCCTATTTATAAAAATATTATTACAGAACTATTTCCCTAACATCCTGGAGGAGTATTCTGGAACATTTGTTTTTTAGTTTTTGTTAATTGCAACGTTTCTTTTCTTCAGGCATTTGGTAGCAACATCTGATTAAATGTGACTGAGCTCAAAAGCTAAGGTTAGTATTTGGATGTGAAACTTTCAGGGAATAGCTAGGTTGCAAGTTAGACTGGGAAGATAAAAAGCATCCCAGAAAAAAATTAGTGGCACCATGAAATTTTGCCAATAAAACAGCATGAATATATACACACACAGTTACCTGAAATCAAGCTTGACTTGAAAAAGGGGTTTTGCCTTTTATAATAATGTGCCTAACTTTTAAAACCAGTGTGAAATCTTTGCCCTCATAACTGTTTAATTAAACAAATAAATATGGTAACCTGTGCTATAGAGGAGAGGGAAGATATACTTGCAATAAATGCATTCAACATTTATAGTTTCTCCTCTGATAGCCTTGCTCATATGGTGCTCACCAGATGTGTTGAAAACTCCCATATTTTTAGCTAGAAAAATCTATCTGCTTTGTGCTATAAGCCTGCTTCAACTCCACCCAGGATTATGGTAACTAGGACATTGTGTATGCTGAGTCTACCAACAATTGGCCCCATGTCCACTCTAAGAGTACACTTCTCCTGTAAGTACATACCAACCAGATCTTTGTGATGTTGGATACCCGACCATGCTCCTCATATATCCATCCATGATAGCATAGCAGCATCTTAAGAATGCTACGCATGGTCATAATGAGAGCCAGCCATAGTGCTGTGGAAAAGGCCAGGACACTGAGGACATTCAGGCCCTGATCTGACAGATAATCGCTGGAGAAAAAGAGGAGGATGGCAGAAAGACAAAGTCAACATTTCAAGAAAACTAACCTGTATTTGTAGATTGCAAATTAACTTAAGAACTGTTAAAGATTGGGGGGGGGGATGAATGATCACATGTTATAGTAATTCAGCTGTTTGGTTTACATTTCAATTAACTGTACAATCTCTGAAAAAGTTTTAATTTTAAAAGCATGTCTCTGTACAGAAAATATTAGGCTATTGGTCTTATTCAGTATAGGAGCTTTCTATGCCAGGATAGACATTTTGGTAGGCTGAGAGTGACTTTTTAATTCTTTTGCTTAGCTAATACACAATATTGTCTGCCTTGCTAATAGGAAAAAGATAACTGGAGTGATGAAACACAATATTATCCCCATAATGCAGGATAATAAAGCATTAATGCAGACAGGAATCAGGAAACATTGGATTTCTGTATTCCCCACAAGGCTAACTCTTTACCCAGTTACAGAAACTGTGTGCTGCTAGAGCCAAAATTAAGGCACTATGTGAGTTTGTACCTGGCTAGGTTAAGGATGCTATCTGAACTCAACCATTAGCTCTGACCGGATCTTAGCTTCTTCCACTCTGACAAAATTAACAGTTTCTAGTTCAGTTTCTAGTTCATCATGAAGACTTGCCTCCTTTTCTCCCCTAATTACCTGACTGGCAGATGTTCCTTTATTTTGTCAATCATGCCCATGGAGGGGTCAAGACGAGAGAACTGGGTTACTAGGATAGCTGTAACCATGAAAAACCAACTGGAGGGGCTGGCGGGATACACACCTGTCACAAAACCATTCTGTTTGGAGGCAATATAAGGAAATGGAGGTGAGAGGTAGGAAAACAAAGAATTTGAGAGTTTTGATTTTCTGCTACGTTGGCACTCTAACCTGTTTCTGAAGGAATAAAATCCTTTTCTTGGAACTCTGACTCACAGGTTGAACTTTTGCCTACATTAGCAAATTATCCTCTGACTTCTTTTCCTCCTAGGCGAAACTGTCCTTTTTTTTTTTTTGCAGAAGCAACAAGAACGTCTACATATTAAATATTTACATTATTTACATTATTTCAATATATTTCAACACATTTAAATAATTCCAGCATTAAAAGCCAATCTACTGGCACTTACATTTTTTTCTTCAAGGATAATTTTTACTCGAATATTAGTGATCTTTGTTGAGAGCCAGTCTGTGTAGTGGTTAAGGTGTTGCACTAGCAGTAGGAAACCCAGACTCTAGTTCTCCCTTAGACAAGAAAGCCAATTGCTTTCTTTCAGTGAGGCCCATCACTTCCTCTCAGCCCTAATCAGCATCAGGCTCTGGAACAAGCCAGCTGCAAAATAAAACTCCTGCCACATCATGCATTAATAGCTTTGCTATATGAATTGAAGCAAATACAATACAGGTAGTCCTCAACTTGCAACCATTTGTTTACTGACCATTAGATGTTACAACCTTTCCAGAATCCCTGCGGTCATGTGACCAAAATTTAGGGACTGGACAACCAACATGTAACGGTCTTGAGATTACATGATCACAATTTGTGACCTTCCTAGCTGGGCTTCCAACAAGTAAAGTGAATGGGGAATGTTGGATTCCTTAATGATCATTTGATTCACTTAACAGTCACAGCAAAAAAAGGTCATAAAATTTAACACAACTCACTTAATGACTGACTTGCTTAATGGCAGAAGTTCTAGTCTCAATTGTGGTCATAAATTCAGGACTACTTGTATGCCTGCAGCCAAATGGGATAAGTACTAGGAACAACATTATGCATGCTCTTTGGGCTATCTGGAAATGTAAATCTCTGTGAAATTGAAGGAAAAATTATTATAGACAGACCTGGCATTCAACAGTAACAGAGATTAGGGCCTCTACAGATGCTGTAGCTTTTCTCTCACTCTGAAAGTCATGTCACCACAAGTGGGAATTGATGTTCAGTACCTCATTCTCTGGGAGTGGTTTGTTCCTGCCTCCCACCAGTTTCCCTTTGTCATTCTCTTGATCGTTATTCCCGAACCCCTAGCCATTCTCCAACCCTAACCCCTCAACCCAACAGAGAGCTACATTCTACAGACAATACTCCAATCCCCTCTAACACCAATCACTTATTCCACCAATTGGCCAAATGTGATACAATTTTACTCAATCTTCTACATAAAATCAATGTGATTAATTGCATAGTATAGCAGTTGATAATAGTGTAATGAATTTAGACTCTCTAATAAAGAACCAAGCAATCACAGCTCTTTGGCTACTTAAGAACTGACACTGAGATCTCATTTTTGCATTGTTAAGAACTCTTTCTTTGTCCTCTGGTATATTCTTGACTGAACTCCAATCCTTACTATTAAAATATTAGAGATGACAACTTTGGTGTCAGCAAGAATCAACAAGACCCAACTTTAATACCCTTAATACAGGTAGCCCTTGACTTACGACCATAATTCAGCCCAAAATGTTGCTAAGTGAGACATTTGTTGAAATGTGGCAAGAAAGATCATGATCACATTTGTTAAGTGAGTCACTGCAGTTGTTAAGTTAGTAACATAGTTCTTAAGTGAATCTGGCTTCCTCTGTGACTTTGCTTGTCAGAAGGTTGCAAAAGGTGATCGTACGACCCCGGGACACTGCCAAAATGTGAGTCAATTGCCAAGCATTTGAATTTTCATTACCTGGCCATGGAGATGCTACAACGGTTGTAACTGTGAAAAATGGCCATAAGTCACTTTTTTCAGTGCCGTTGTAACTTTGAATGGTCATTAAATGAATTGTTGTAGGTCAAGGACTACCTGTACACAGAACTCTGTTCCCTTCTGAGAATCCCCAATTAAGATTTCACAGCCAGATTTTCAAGTAGCATTTGAGTTGTATTTTTAACATTATGATTGCCCCCTGCATTACCCGTAGTTGGTTGAATTTCTTTTTCCAGGAACGCAGGCCTGAAAGGTAAATCTCCTTGATAGCTGCATGGCTCAACTGAAGGTCAATACCCTCTGGAGAGACAGTGAACTGAAATGCCACAGCCTGGTGAGCTTCTGCCATCGTGGGAGGATATTAAGTTGTTGGCTAAGCAGTTAAAAGAAACAGAAACAAGTGATATAATTAGCCTTCATTAATACATTCGAGGTGTGATGAAAATACCATTGCTCAGTCACTGATGGGTTATCAGATCTACAAAACGTTTAGGCAACCCCTGGATGGTGCAAAAATTATTTTCTGTATCTCATCATTGATATCTAGTAGCCAACAAGATTTTTTTCAGACAAAATTAAGCAACTCTGAACAAGGCTGATACAAACCCACCCCTAATATTCCTCCAAATTTGTTTCCAAATGTATATTTATTTGCAGAATTTATAACTCAGCTTTTACCGTTAGCCAATAATAATAATAATAATAATAATAATAATAATAATAATAATAATGCAATGCAAAGAAGGCATGCAGTATCTTCCAAACAAAAATAAAACTACCAGTTAAAACTACTGATTTTCAACAGATTAGAAATTATAATGGATTAATGAGAAGAAAAGGGAACACCCTGAAAAAGAACATTTAAAATCTGAAAGGAGATGAATAAAAACATAGTTCTTTCCATTTTATCTGATAAAAGAACCATTAGACCGTCAGTTAAACAATATGTAACCAATATGTCCACCATAGAAAGTATCCTCACATATTGCGTTACAGTATGGTATGCTGGTTTAACAGCTGCGGACAGGAAGGCATTAAAGAGAGTGATCAATTCAGCACAAGAAACCATTGGTTGCCCTCTGACACCACTGGATGACATCGCCAGATCCTGCTGCTTTAGCAGAGTAAGGAAGATACTCAGAGATGATTCACACCTTGGTCAATGCCTCTTTGCACTTCTACCATCGGGCAGAAGACATCAAAATACAGCCAGCCAAACAAATAGATTTAAAGATAGTTTCTATCCTTGGGCTGTCAGACTTTTAAATACAACCACAATCACTCCATGCACACAAGCTCCCTGTGGAGATCCGTACCCCTATGACCCTCCCGACCTTCCGTAAAGCCACTAAGTCCTGGCTGTTCCGGCAGGCCAGGGGCTGTTGAAGTATCCAGCCCCACGGTAACTATGAATGTTGTTGTATTTTAAATTGTTGTTTGTCTTATTTATTCCCTTTCCCCTTTTTATTGTAAGCCGCCCGGAGTCCTCCGGGAGTGGGCGGCATTCAAGACTAATGAACTGCTAGGTTTTTTTTCTTTTTCTTTCTTTTTTCGTTTCTGCTATAATTTTGCACCAGTGAGGTTAAAACCAATTTCGTTGTATTTATCTTGTACAATGACAATAAAGATTATACTTATACTTATGTAAGGAAAAAGCTCTGCACCCACAAAGACCCTCTTTTCACCAAATCAAATTTATTAATAAAGGACAATAGTTCTGCATACAGTTCCCAAAATTTTGTCTCCTAATCTTCTTTCTATTTTTCGTCCTGGCATTAACTAATCAAACTCTACGGGCATTTCATTTGCTTATTCATAGCTGTTTAAGGACTTAACATGCCGCCCCCTATGGGTAATCAATAGAAAATAGATAGAGTCCACACTGAACAGAACATGCTGTGACCTTGCCACCAATGACACAATAAAAGCCATTATACTATAGCAGGTGTTTAATAAGAATATGCTACCATTCAGAGGTCCTTTGGAGTGGGTATGGGCCCATTACACCTCTTAGTACCTCCTTAAATAAGCTGCTTGTGGAAGTATTTAATGATGAAAAATAAAATAAAGCTAATCTTTCCTATCACAAAAACTGTAAGGAAAAAGATCCATAGCTACAAAATGGATCTACTATATACAGCGTAAGAAGTAATCCCTAAATATCTGGGTTATTCCAACAGATGCCAGCTTTCATTGAGAGAGTAAAAATTCCAAAGAGAACCTTAGGTTTTCTGCACACTATTTTTCTACTTACATCCTGCCAGTTGCAAATTTGGCTGCTATGGCAACCTTTTTCTATGCCAAGAAATTAAAAGGGAATAGCAAGTAAAAAGAGGAGTAATAACAGTATAATAATTTAAAGATACAATTGGTTTGAATAGTTTTAACTTGATCTTTGCTTGCAGCTTCAGTAATTCTCTCCTTTCTTCATGAAAAGGCCCTATTCAGTTCTATCTAAGCCCAGTTGTACAACTAGACAGTACAGAAAGGGAGTCAATAAATAAAACATAAAATCTTGGTTACCACCTGCAATTCAACCTCATTATCTTATACAAAAGAAAATCTAGGAATATCAGTTCTCAAAGCTACTATTGGTACTAATATCAGAAATTCTCTGGAGATAAGTTGAAGTCATAAGGTGCCACCCAGCTTACTTCACCAGCTGTACATAGTCAGTTTTCCTATCCCCTGAAAGGAGTACCACTTTGTTTACCTAATACAGCTGAGAGTGCCCATGATGTCAGCACTATGCCAATATGAGGTCACAATATAATGTCTGGAAAGTTTGAAAGAAGAGATGGAAAGGATCAAATAAGCTTACTTATTTGACACAATTCATGACAAGTGAAAATTTAGGGGACACTCCCAACCAATAACAATCTCATTTCCATTACATAACTTGGACTACAACTGCCATATTCTCTGGTTATCCCATTCTTTCGATAAGCTGCAGATTAGAAATGACAAGATTTCACTCAATGTATCAAACAAATACTGTGGAATGCTGACAGCATCTTGGAGTCCTGTTTAGTCATCATTCAAACCACCCAGTTGCCACATACTGTAGCTCTATAGACCAGAATGAGAACAGATTACAGTAAGGAGAACAGTATTGTCAAGGGACAATAGTTCAAGGGAAAGGTTATGACACCCAACATAGAAGCATAATACTCTGTTGTTTTATTAGATGTTTTTTTCTATTATAACAGGCAAAATATTAATTTAGATTTATTTTTTGCTTTCTGTTGTGAAGTGGACAAAACATTTCCCAATTTTCCACCCCACATCTCCATTATTTCCCATCATTTTGATCAATGACATTCCTGAGATGCATCAAAATCTTAAAGATTCTCAAATTCTGAGTGAAAGCCATTGGGATCTGCTGGAGGGATTTCATCTGCGACAGCACCTTATCTCAGATGAAGAATTGTGAGGCAAATCCTAAAGAATTTCCTCACTTAAATAAAGATATTCACACACCAACTACCATTATGCACCCCTGGCAATTCAGAGAATTGCAGCATTTTTGCTGCTATCTTTTGTGGCTGCTTTGAGATATCCTAGATAATGAATATAATTTTATATAATAGGTCAGAATTGTTATTCCCATACATACAAGTTAAGTGAAAGGTTGCTGAGAAATAGTGGGTTGCCTAAAGTCACCTAACACATTTATCAAAAACTGAGATTTAAATCAAGAGTTTCTTAATGGTGGAAAGTATTTGATGATCAAAGGTTGTACACTGAGATTTCAACAGGTCTTCTTACTTCACAGTTTGGAGTAAACAACTACATATTTTACCTTACCTGCTTGCAATGCTATTTTTTTAATCTACCATACTTTAATCCTTTGCTTCATCACTTTCCAGCTTTGGATTTCTCTATAAACCCACTACATGTCATTTTAAATAAATACAGAAAACTCTCATTCTTGGTTGTTGTCTAGTGATTATCCAGATCACAAGTATGGTAGCCCAATATATGATAATGTATTCTCTGTTTAAAAATAATAGCAAGCTAGCAAAAATTATTGCAGTGAATAAAGCAAACCATTTCAATCATGTTGTTGGAAGGACTTTCATTTCAATGCTAACATAACAGTAGTAACAAGGAATTAAAATTCCATGTGAAAAAACAATGTAGTGTAAATGATTTAGTACACTGAACTGTGTGTCAAGAACCTTGGTTTCCAATTCCTTCCTATTCTGTTTCAATTTTATTCCATTTTGAACTCTTAGTTGGAATCTAATAGCTTTCTACCATCGGACTCTATTAAACAAAAGGTTTCTGTAGTTTGTGGACCGAAAAGAAGAACAGCTGTGCTATTATTGCTATATTCACATAGCTTACTAAACTCTAAACCTGGCTTATAAAATAAGACGCCAAAGGGTTCACATAACACGCTACATGCAAACAACTAATATTATGATGTACTATGTGACACATCCTGTTTGATTAAGACAATGTTCAGATTCTCATAAAACACAAAGTACTCAATTTCATTTTATTCTAATCAGTAGATTGAATGAACCAGTGATAATGTCATTGGTGAGAGGAAATTATTAGAATCTGAGCAAAAGTTAAGAATGGCATATAAGCTTCATAGGAGCAGTTGAGTTCAGCTGAGCATATTAATTTGGGGATAGAAAAATTCAGATTTGCAATCTTCCATCCATCTGTTGGATTGCAAAATAGATTATAAAAGTCATGAGAGATATAAGCCTTGGAGAAAATATCTAGATAAATCAGGATCACATTATCTACAAGAAATACTGATATGAAACAACTATTAACCCGCCTTCTCTGGGAATAAGGTTTGAGGTGGCTCAGGAATTCATGGCTGTCACAAGAGCCATGGGCTTATCCCAGGTCATCCAGAGCCTGAAATGGAGCAGTGGTCACAAACTGGATCTGATGTTCCTATTAAAGCAGTGCTATGTGAAATTGGGAGAGCTTTTATGTACTCTTTGTCCTGATCAAATCATGCCCTTGTTACATGGTATTCACCAGCACTATCTACTGCAGGGAGATTAGACCTTTAGATCTGTCCATCCTGATGATCGACAGATTTCAGAGGGAGCTGGAGTCCTGCTGGTATGCAGCACAGTCATTATGAAACCCTAGAATATGAAAGTGACTGAACCTTTAGGTCAAATCATACCTATGCAGCTTCTCCCCTGTTGTAGATTCTGGCCCTCCTTGTGGTTCTTGGAGGAGTTAAAGGAATTGAAATGAGAGAAAAGACACCTAGAACATAGCTGGCACTCTATGGGGGATGAATTAAATAGGATATGGGTTAGAGCTGTTATTAAGGCCTAATTTGTAGCAGTAAGGGTGCCAAAGCATCAGAACTTCCCCACAATTATTGAGTCT